CAGTTCTAGTAAACTAATGTACTATAACGACTATCTAACAATATGATTTATTTTCAGCGCAAACTGACAAAAGAGTGCTATGACATTATCACGTTTCTTATCCTAATAGCACCTGAACATCTTGGTTAGAAAGCATGTTGTCTCCCACTGTCGCTTCATAGCTTGATACTTCGAAAGATATTCCCTTGAAGGTCAATTAGTTGGAGTTTATTAGAGCAACATGAAAAACCATCTTACAGGAGGAACTCTGCCATATGCAATTTTTAAAAAAAGTTGAAAAACACATTTTTATGAAGGTGATTTCACTATGGCATTTATTTAAGTAGCATTTAATTAACATTTGTATTCCTATTGTAAATTCTTAACTTCTGAAAGCGTAAAGCAGAAGAAACTTCAGAGCAGTGACTGATTTATTTGTATCAGATTGTAGATATTGTAGAGAAATGTAACATAATCTTATCTTAAAAGTATTTTGGTGATTGATCTCTGGAACAATCTTCCCCAAACATATGACAGGTTCCAATTCTCCTCACCTTTAGGAAAACTGTTAAGACCTGGCTCTTCCCTCAGGCATTAGGGGCCAAGTGAGTGAGAGTCTTCCTTTTGGTTGTTCTGTTAGGTCCTGGCCACCATTTTATGTTTTGCATTTATATATTGTAAAACAGCTTTTCTCAACTTTCTGACCCTGGAGGAAGCCTTGAAATATTTTTCAGGCCTTGGGGAACCCCTGCACATTCAGGGTCAAATATACAGTAGGCCAGAAGTTACAAAATTATTATATCCGTTTCATGTGTAGACCTGTATTTATGCATTAACAGTGTTCTTAAACTAAAAGAATGAAACTTCCCTCCTTAATGTGGAACCTGTGCTTGTTTTTTACTGCACAAATATTCAATTCTGGGCCAAACTTAAGATAAGCACACACAGATTTCTTCAACTAAAATAAGACGATTTCTGTCTTTGCTTTTGATATTTGTTAAATAAGAAAAATGTAAGAAGTTAAAAACTGCAGCAAAATGTTCAGTGCCTTCCTATGAATGGCAGAATATTCTTCTTTCACAGAAATCCAGAACTTGTCCATGGACAGATCAGTGAATTTCATCTTCAGTGTACGATCAGACTGCAGTTCACAAAGTTCTTCCTCTTCCTTCACAGTGAAGTTCTCAGGCTGAGCAGAAGATGCAGAGAAAGGATCCCCCACCCAGTCATACCTTTGTGTTGAAAGTACTGATCAGTTTTGTTCTGCGGTACATCCAGGTGATTTTCAATTAGATTTCAGGTATCCTTCCTCACTCTCAAGCCCAAGCAGCAGTGGAAACATTTCAATATTTCCTTTTGC